AGGACCTGATTGGGGCTGCTTATTTGTTGCAGTGATTTTTTGAAAATGCACCCGATCTATTTGGGTAAATTGTGTTTCGACAGCTTTTGCGTTTTCAAAACGCTGAAAACAGCATTTTCACACCGCACCTATCAGATTTCTGGAAGCGGTTTGGTTGTTCCTTGTTCCAAAAAAAAATAAAATTTGTAATAGTCACCGCACCTAGTTCATCAGAAAATTATTTTTAATCAGTTTATCAGCAGATTATTCAATAAACTGCAGCTGCCTCCAAATAGACCCTACATCAGAACTCTTGATGCAATAACTTTTCCAAGAACATGGGAAGGAACCCAGTATAAATGTTTTTAATAAATTTTATTTAACAATTAATATGCAACATAAATGAGGAATTAGTGATGTAAATGTTGGATAATTAATTTAAAATGAGGCTAATAGTTTCTAATATTCTTAAAAAATAATAGAAAGATTTACATATGTAGTGCACAATTATTATCCATTTATATGTCTAACACCTAAAATTTGATATTTATACTTATAGCACTTAAAATTATTCATGAAATATTTATTTACTTTTGAAAAGATAGTGATAGTGATATTTTTTGTGCGATGTTAAAAACTTGAATTGTATGCATGTAAATATGTAAATATGAATGATTAGTTGTTAGATATGTAAATTCATAAGAATTGTGTGGTATATATGAATATAAATGCCTCAAAATAATAATATTTATGCAAATAAAAATTTACCTTGTTTATTATTTTTAGAAAAAGGTTAGGTTAGAGTTAAAATAAAAATTAGGATTAACTATTTAATAAATAAATAACTAATTAGAAATTTTCTTACATACATAGCACATAAAACTTTAATATTTACCAATCTCATACGTAAAATTTCATAATTACAAATATCATATGAAAAGTAACACTCATCATTACATTTTAACAGTCAAATTCATAATTTCATTCATAGGTAAAGTGATATGTGTAAAAATGAAAGCTTAGTTTTAGATGTCAGATATGTTATTTTTTAATAGCTTTGGTATTACGATATTTACTATCATTTGGGTCGTCTAGACCCATAATTATATAAAATTTAAAAAATAAAATAATAATTGGTGTCAGATATGTTATTTTTTAATAGCTTTGGTATTATGATATTTACTATCATTTGGGTCGTCTAGACCCACAATTATATAAAATTTAAATAATGAAATAATAATTGCGAAACTCTAGAACGAAAATATATAAGAAATCTTATGTATTCTTATATTATCATGAGAAATTATTAGGGAAATTTACATGTATGTCACACAATTCTTGCATATTTAGATATCTAACACCTAAATTTACTTATTTATATTTACAACACATATTGGTGTTACAAACTTACACATTAAAAAATATATTGAACTTCTAAAAAGTTTGAAAAATTGATATCTTTTAAGTAATGTTAAGACTTCAGTGTAATGCATCATGCATGTAAATTTGAGAGCTTAGGGTTGAATATATCACCATATAAGAATTGTATGGTATATTGGTATGCATGTAAAATTGGACAAAAATTTTAGGGATACAACTCAATTTCTATTACTTTACAAATCTCACAACTAAATTTCAATTTTTACATTTATATCAACAAAATCTTTCACATCATCTCAAAAATATTAGTATTTTAATATTTTTAATGTGAAAAACATATATTATGTGCATAGGTAAACTGACATATATGTAAGAAATTTAAATTTTGGTATTATATATGTAAACACAGAGGAAGTGAGCAGCATGTTTGTAATATGAAAATCTTTTAAAATTTCGATGAGTAGTCCTAAAACGTTAAAAGCACTCAATTGAAAAGATGATGATATAAAAAGACGAGTTATTGAAAAATTTATTGGTGTTAAACGAGTTTCTTCAATAACTTCACTTGCAAACCAATCATTAAACTTTCATGGGATACTTGGCCAAGGCTATGATGGGGCAGCTAATATGCGAGACGAGTTCGATGATTTGAATGCATTCATTCTTAATTGTAATCCTCAAGCATTATATGCTCATTGTTTCGTTCTAGCTTCAATTGTGTTTTGTAGATATAGCAAAAAATCATTGGCAAGTTGGACATCATTTTTACTTCAAGAATCCTAAATACTTTTGGAGCTTCTTATGAGAGGAGTGTTGCTCTTAAAATTATTCAACGTGAGAAAATTCTTTTGCATCTTAGAGATGAGAATTTAATTAGTGGTCGTGATTTGAATCAAGAATCAACTTTGCAATAGATTGGAGATACCCGTCGGAGCTCACCTTCACTACAGGAATAATGGTCTTTTCCAACAGCCTAATTCCATCTGTAATGATAAGAAAAATTTTTGCTTTTGATATTTCCGACGATTAATCAATGAATTTAAGCTTTTAAGTAAAACGCTTGTCAGGATTAATTATTTGTATGTATTTTATGTCATATTTGCATTACAATTTGAATTTCAATTATGACGGTGATCGGTTGGCCGATTGGCTTGATATCGTTCAACTGAGACTGCCGGCGGAGTGACGATTGTGCCCTCCGACATACCTGTAGGTTGGTCGATGTGCTCGGTCACGTGACAATCTCTTTCGTCATGGATCAGTCAGTCTATTGTGGTTGGGCACTCCTACATGCGTCCTAGTCAGTCGAGACCGCAGGCATGGTCCACAGTTGGTGTCTCTCGCCGCAGCAGATCGGTGGAATTTTCTCTACCCAAACAATGTTATGGTGGTAGGACGCTCTGTTTGCCTGACCTCCATTTGAGCTAATGGCTTTGAGATTCATGCCGGTATTTTTGGTGCATACAATAAAACATTAGGATGATTTATTTGAAAGCAAAATTCTCCAACATTCTCCATTACCAAAAAACTTCAACAAGAAATACAATTCTAAGAATAAAAACTTTTCATAAAAAAAAAAATAATAGTAATTACAATCAAAAGTACAACAGATTAATGTTGCTCCACCTAAAACTTGCATCAGTTTTTATCTGCGATAAAATTATTACATCGATCGCTCGGACGCCGAGTCACGACCGAGCATTGTATCACGGCCGTCACCCAGACTCAGCTCGACGTCCAGACAACCGACATAATAATCTCTATCAACAAGATAGATTTGCAGCGGAGGAGCAACATGCCACTTCACGAGTGGTGGATCAGTGAGAGGAGCATATAATAAGACCCCTCAATTCTTAAAATTATGAAGTTCAACGTTAAACTAAAAGTAAATATTTATTTAGTATCAATTAAGAATAATAATTTTTTAATAATATGTGATTAAATTAGAATTTTTAAAAATTTAAAATTAAATTGATCGCTTGTTATTAGTTGGGACGACTATTAATACCTTCTGCCCATTTACATACATTTCTTATGCATTTACATTTTTGATATTAATATTTACATGCATACCCCTCAAATATTTTGCATCACATCAAAAACACCACCATTAATATACCTTTTGTAAGTGAAATACACCTCTTTCACACAGATTTATAGCACTGAAGTGCTGCAGTGCTGAAAGTGATATCCAAATACATAAGAATTATATGACATGCATCTAAATTCCATTAAATATGATGCAAGAAATGGGCTAAAAACTAATGAAAATGCCATTTTAAAAATAACAATGAAAAAACTACAACAATATCTATAAAAAGAGAAAAAATATTGAGTATTGATGCATCAGTACTCCAATGAGGAGGTGCCACGTATGCAATGGTCCCATCATAATGCCACGTGGCACCTCTTCATTGGAGTACTGATGCATCAATACTAGTGAGATAATATTTTTTCATAAAAAGAATTGATGCATGAATCCTATTCAACATAAGAAACAGCAGAACTTGGCCCCATCAACACTAAACATAAAAGCTGCACAAACCAGGCAATTTTCTCAAGTAAAAATTAGCTAAAAAATTTTCTTATGCGTTTGACCAGTATTTTATTCAGAATTGATATTTAACACAATAATAATACTAGACAATATACTATAGAGAAAAAAAAATACTAATCAAACGCACCAAAAAAAAAAAAAAGGGAGTAATTCTGACCTAAAAATCTCCTGAAAAAAGGGAAAGCAATGAAAATCAGGTTAGACCTACAGAAGATAAACAAATCCAAGTTACCCAGATTCTAACACAAAAAGGATGAGCAGCAGGTCACCTCTAAAAGAAGAGTCTTTACAGATTAGGCCCTCAAGAAACAATATATGTGTACCTACAAAAAACATGAATGAGATGATGAGATTTTGTTTGCGGTGGGGGCGGTGGCCGCCGATCAATTTGATGAAGAGGACACAAATGCAAAAATGTGAAATTTATTTTTGAATAAGTGTAGGCATGCCACTTTATAATCGGTAGGCACGCCGAGAGTTGTGTCATTTGGATTTAATAATTTTTTGAGGGGTAAGATTTAGGGTCCGTTTAAGGTGGCGGTGACAGTTTAAAAGTTACTGTGGAAAAATTATAAAGAAACAGTCCATTTACTTTCGAAAAATCGAACAAAATTTTTTAAGGATTTCCGTTTGGGGCGGCGGTGCGGTGGCGCTGGCGGTGCGGTGGCGGTGGCGGTGCGGCACAACATCGCAGTTTTGTTTGTTTGGGTAAACTGTGTTTTGGCTACTTTTTCAAAAAGCTGCCGCTAAAATCTGTGTTTTCCCACTACTACTGGCTAGGTGCGATTGCAACTTTCTAACTGCGGTCTCACTAGTTAAAAAAAATTGTAATTGCCATCGAAATTTTTGAGCATCGGATTATTATTCAGCAACTTCACAGCAATTTTTAATAAGTTGCAGCTGCAGCTGCCCCAAAAAGAACCTTAAATGCATATCATTCAATTCGGATATATTTACATATCTAACACTTAGACTTCATTTTTTTAGATGCATACAAACTTACCTATGCATGAAAAAAGGTGTGTATGTCACTTTTTAAAAGTTACCATTGTGATATTTTTGATGTGATATGAAAGAGATTTGGGTGGTGTAAATGTAAACAAATAAAATTAAGGTGTTAGATATGTAAATACGTAGGAATTGGGGCAGTATGCATGTGAATGCCCATAACATTTTTATAACCATCACAATAGTGAATTTGGTTTAAAAAAACAGCTTTTCACCATAAAAACTTCTGAGAAAATTGTATCATTAAAAACAAAATTGCATAAAAACTATCCAAAATGAACTCCTAATCACAAAATGGATAATAAAATATCAACAATGGTTGGGAATCAAGGCAGACAAATAGTTCTACCTTAAAAAGGTGCCTCCAATGTTTCCTCCCAAATATCCCCACTTCCATTAGAAGCATTATCACCATCTTCCATGGATAACCGAATATATTCTCTACGTGCAAAACGATCCCATTCAGTTAGCGTTGGATTCTCCCGCTCCTACATGAAGCATATTGGCCGCATGAAAAAATCATTAAATAGTTCCCCGACTATTTACATTAGGTCATTTTATAGTTTATAAAAGTGTTAAATTAATTCCCGGACTGATTTAACGAAAATTAAAATATTATTTCAACCCATTTTAAATAAGTCTAAAAATTAAATTGGCGCTTATATACTCTGGGAGTAAAATAGCTACCTCCAAAGAATCATAGGACCATTTTGACACTTTTCTTAATCTCAAAATAAATTTGAAGATTTTAATGGCCATAGTGACCCAGTTTTTCTGAGTTGTGATCAATGAAAAAGATGAACGGTGCTCACTTGACGTATTACAAAAGGGTCACGGGTTTCAAATGCCATGAACTTGTTGAGATTGAAAAGAATGTTGAAAACATTTGCTGAAAGCTTGCATGCTTTTATATCTCGTAGAGAAAAAAAAGTTCCATTCTGCACAAGAAAAATTGTTGTTAGACAGTTATAGGGTAATTTGAATCCATTTCTGGGGTTTTATTTGATTAATTCAGCATGAACGGTGAGGAAAAGCACCTCGGGAGTAACCATATCAAATATCTGGCATAGCATGTCTTCAAAGAGTATTGGATCCTGCGCCATGCACTCCATCCGATGGAATTGTTCCTCATAAAAGAATTGCATCTCAGGACCTGTTATAATTCCATTTCCATCCAAATCTATGCACTTGAACCTGTTATGATTAATTACATTTTTCAACGAGTTACAGTAAGAGTGAACTGAATTGTTTTTAAGCTTAGTATAAAATGATGAAAAAATGCGAAAAAATTTTAAAAATACAATCTTTTCCGATCCATATTAGTTTTAATAAGTGGACTTCGTTGTCAAGAACTTGATACAGAAGTTGTATCAAAATTCAACATGATAATTGAGCAGAACATAAGATTTCTATGATTTTTTTGCTAATGATTACATACGAGAATCACAAAATGAAGATGAAAAACATTGAATGAATTATGCTTTGGTGTAATAAAAAGTAACTGATACAGGGCTCCCTAGGGGGTTGAACCGGTTGGACCTCCTGAAACGGTTCAGCCAAGGGGGGAGCAAGGCTGCCGTTCTAGGTTTATGGGCTAGGTTGCCGCCCAAGGGAAGGGTCCTTTGATACGATCTGACCTCAAAATTGGCATGTTTTTCCACAAAAATTAGAGAAAACACAATTCTTCAGTAAATCAAACAACTCAACAAGAATACAAAGATAAATACCTATAATTCAACAGGTCCCAATTCCTAAAATCCGAGAGGTAGGAAATATCTCTCAAACCCTAGACCTCAAACTCATCACTCAATATCATGCATATCCCAACCCTAGACATAACAAGTCTATTTATACCCAACAATAATAATAATAAATGACTAAATTGTCTTTAGACATACAAAACACAAATTTGCCCTTAGCATAGGCTCCAATGTAACAATTCCCCATCCCCCAAATGAAACCATGTCCTAAAGGTGGGAAAAAATGAGTGTTCCTCCGCACCCGTAGCTGTCTCTATTTTTTCATTCATAGCTTCCTCGTTATGAACTAGGAGAACTTGTTATTTTCGATCCTTACAATGGTATTCTAGGGTAAACTTCTCATCACTCCGAAAACTCGCTTCTCCCGAATCTCGTCTCTGTAAGATGCTTAAGTGTTGCTCCCGGTTCTGATCCATTATTTATGTCCCGTGTAGCCTCCCTCTGGACTTTTACTGTTTGAGCTTTTGATATTTTCGTGGTTGTAGTTGTTCGGTACGGCATTCCATCTTTTTTGCTCATGCTGGCTTTCTTCATCTGATTCTTGACCTCTACCACCCGAGCTAGCTCCATCATCTCCCTAGATCCCCGCAGCCTCAATAGTCGGAGTGATGCTCGTATGTTAGACTTTAAGCCATTTATGAAATCTCCCTCCAATCCTGCTTCAAAAATCCCCCTCAACTATCCCAACAATAGCTCAAAATCTCTCTTTATTCCATGACAGTCTCCTCCTGAATCAAGACATAGAATTGTTTATGTAAGTCTCCTTCCTGAATTGCTCAAAAAGGCTCCAACAAACAATCCTTGAATCCCTTCCAAAAAGAATAGGGCATCTAAACTCCCTCCACTTAAAACATGCTAGAGTTTTTCCTTCCAAGCATAACCCTGTTGTCATGAGTTTCTCCTCCCCATCAAGCTCATTCCTCGTAAAGTATCGCTTCACCCGATACACCCACCCATGTGCGTCTTCCCCCTCGAAAGTCGACATCTTCAATTTCCTAATTCTTAAGATATCTATCTCAACTTCCTCTTCCTTTGTTGTTTCCCCCATGTCGTGAGGGTAAACCTCCCTCCTTCGATTGTAGCTATATCCCCTCACTACTCTCATTTCTTCTTCGCGCTCCTCCATACTTCTTACATAATATCTTCTCCATGTTTCAGCCCAAATGCCTTCATTAAAAATCTCTAATCTACTCCTAATCAGAGCCCTGAGAGGGGGTTTGTGATGCTAGATGCTTTCCTCCACGTACTTCTCACGTTCGATCTCTTTTCCTTTCGATTTAGCCAAGAATCTCTAGTCAACAGTTCGGTAGGGTTTGCAAATTAAAACTCAAACAAAGTCTTGGATTGCATCACAATAAGTTTCTTTATCATCTTTCAAATTTTCCCATGCTCTCAAATCGGTCCCCCATTTGATTCTCCAGGGAAGAAAGCCTATCCTCTATGACGACAAACCTTTCTTATATCCCATATCTAATTTAGTTGATAACTTCCTCTAACTTTTTATCCAAATTATCTATTTTCTTAGTTGTCATTCTTCCAAGAAAAAAAAAATTGATCAACAAAAGACGAAAGCACCTGTGCATTATCGGGCGAGGTAAAATGATTGAAAATTCCTAAATTTTCAGAGATGTCCCTGTAGAAAATGGCGGGGGTGCGATCACTCAATACGCTGTGATATCCTCTTTGCTTACCAACTACGAGAGTCGCGATTGTACCACACGAGGCACGCCGTAATCCCATTGTGGGCACCTTGCATGCTCTGCTTTGCACGATTAGTCACTTTTTCTTCACGTCGAAGCCGTGCAAAACGACTAAAAGAAGTGATCCTTTCCCACGTGAAAGGAGAAAGACGCTATCCCTTGTCCGCTTTAGTGAATTGGTAAGCCATGATCCCATTGTTGCTTTCCCAAATCGATGTAATCGCGAGTGTATGGTGAACATCGGTCACACAAGAGCTATCAACGACTATAGCAACTCGATCATTTCTTCCCTTTGTGATTGTGTACGTCGTGATGCTTCTCGTGACTGTTTAAACTTTGAACGACGCGATCACTAAATGTCGCGATCATTTTTCTTCCTGATCATAATTAGCTTCCCAACTGCAAGGATTCGTCATTCCACAGAAATATTCGTTACTTTCCTTGTCACATCATGGATCGAAGCAATGCCTCTCGATCCTTTTTCTTTGATTCCCATAACTGACTTCTCTAATACCAATCTTATACGATATGATCTCAAAATTGGCACATTTTTCCACAAAAATTAGAGCAAACACAATATTTATTCAATAAATAAAAAAACAATAAGAATACAAAATAAACATTTACAATTCAAGAGGTAGGCAATCTATCTCAATTCTTATAATTCAAGAGGTAGGAGATCTCTCCCAAACCCTAGAACTAAGACACATCATCAAACTCATGCATGTCCTAATTATAGACATAAAAAACCTATTTATACCCAATAATAATAATAAAAGACTAAATTGCCCTTAGGTGTACAAAAGACAAATTTTTCCTTAGGCTAGGTTCCAAGGTAACAACCTCCCCCTCCTAGTTATCTACTATATATATGTTATGTTATTGTCATTAAGGTTTTGTTTTTGTCGTTTTTTGTCAGGACAACCACCAACGTTTACTTTTCTCTTCTAAGGTTCTATTCCAGGTTGATTGGTGCTCCGATTGTATATCGCTTTGAGGTGGTGATTATCCCTGACTTTCCCTCCTTCGCATCTGCCCTGTTGCTACTGCAGTCCTCTTTTCTCACCACAGGAGACCCCTGACCGCTATCATGCGGTCTCCCTGCACCCATCGCCCTCCCCTCTTGCCATCCTCTGGTTACCGGCCTCTCTCCCCTCTTTGTACCCAGCTCCCCCAACCCCTCCCGGGTGGCTGTCCAATCCACCACCAACCCTTCCTGTTGTTGTCCAGTCCACCCCCAACGTTTCCCGTGGATGTCCAATCCACCGCCCACCGTTCTTGCTACTATCAAATCCCTCGCGTTCTCTTTTGACTGTTGTGCAATCAACGAACCATCTTCTTGTTGTTGTCCAGGCCACAACCCATCTTCTTGCTACTGTCCACGCCCCCACAGTCCTTTTGCACACTGTCAGCTTCACCCCAACACTGCCGCCCAAGGGGTTATCTACTATATATATATATATATTACATTATTGTCATTAGGGTTCAATTTTTGTTAAGTGTTTTTGTCAAGAAAGCCATCGACGTCCTCTTTTTCCTTATAGGGTTGTATTTGAGGGTGAGTAATACTCCGGTTGTATCTTGCTCTTAGGTCCCTCGGCTTTCCCTCCCTCGCATCCACCCTGTTGCTTCTGTAATCCTCTTTTCTAACCACAAGAAACTCCTGACAGCTACCTTGCTGTCTCCCTGTACCCACCGCCCTCCCCCCCTTGCCATCCTCTTGTTATCAGCTTCTTTCCGCCCCTACCTAACCAACCACCAGAAATCCCCTCCATCCCACCCGCTATTGTCCAGTTCACCGACAAGCCTTCTTGCTGCTGTCCAGTCCACCGCCCACACTTTCCGTTGTTGTCCGCTCCACCGTGATATCTTATGGTTGTCAAGTCCACCGACCATCTTCCTATTGTTGTCCAGGCCACCACAGTCCTATGCACTGTCAGCTTCACCCAACACATGCTTATGTATTTTGTGTTGTTTTTATTCTTATTTTGCAGAATCATGATTGTACTTGACCGTTTGTTTGTTTCTGTTGTTTATGTTGAAGAGTCGTTGTACTGCTGAATTCAGCAATAAATATTTGCATCCTATCATGGTTTGGGTTGACTCCAGTATCAGCCGCCTTCAGCTAGCACGAAGAACATTGGACGATTTACAATGTAGAACCTGAAATTTAGTTATTTATAAAATTATCCAACTCAACCTATTTGCAATAGTACGACCCCTAATCTCGAAGACCATGACCAAAAACAACCTAAAACTACTATTTTTATTAAATTCTCGATGAGCTGACAATGAAATGAGCGAATAAAGAGATTCAGTGGTAATTGTTTTGGACTATGAATTAGTTTGATAAACAAAAAAATTTGTCCATAAATTCCCCTAAACTCATTCTGAAACAAGGGTTAGTTTGTTAAATTCTCAGGAAAATTGATGAAACTTGACCCACAAGTATTTTTCATACCATAGATTAAAATCAAACATCATGTTTAGTTTGCAGTCATTATAAAACAATGGGAAAATACTAAATCAATCAAAGAATGATCATTTCCCACTAGAAGATGAAAAAGTCCAGCAAAAACATGCGGTTTTAAAGTTTAGTTTCAAGTACATGAATTGTAAGTTGATTCTGTACTGAAACTTGGAGCATCTTTAACAGTTTCCACAAGAAAAAACATAATAATAATAATAATAATAATAATAAAACTGGTTGATATAGTCCAATTTGGTAGCTGAAGATAAAATAAATAATAATGTAGGCTGTAGTTTATCTGCATATAGTTAGAAGCCAATGTCAAACACCATCAAAACCACCTCCCTGTTTGCTGTAACTTCAGAATTTTCTATGTCATGGGTTATTTGTTGCAGCTATTCCACCCAGATACTACTTCAAAAGTGACTTGTGGAATTCAGTTTGAATGGGAAGAATATATAGAATTAAACGGATTGATCTTGGGCCAATTATATCATCTGATCATGTTTATTACCCTATGGAAGATGAGTCTACAAATAAATTATCAAAGGCATGTAATTTGATAATTTTAATTAAATAAAACTCCATTTAGTTTACAATATTGTGTGTGCTAGTTGTAAGCCTGATTATGTTGAGTACGGCACAACTGTGACTAGTAAGTTGTCTCCTTTTATTAGCAATGTCTCCTTTTATTATGATGAAATTTTTCTTGACCAAATTTCTTCTACATATTTTGCTATAAGCAAGCTAGTATATCGTAGTTTTGTTCAAGGTTGACACAACTATCACCCTCGTTGTGTCAAAATCAGAATGTGCCATTTCCTTAAATAATTTAGTTGGATATGAAGTAAGGCTGATGATGCGTTTAGATGTGAATCTAGATTTAAGTCTAGCGTCATTCAAATTGGCTCGATCCAGCCATAAGTTTAAAAGAGAATAGAAAAATATGGTGGATAAAAAATTAACATAAACAAAACAAAAAGGGTGCAATCTAATACATGAAGTTCTCTATAATACAAGGCACAGCCTTCCCTTGCATAACAATGAGATTGTTTTTTAGCTGTGAACCATGACTTATTCACAAAATACCCAAAATGAATATAAAAATTAAGTTGTGGAAGATGCAGAACAAAGAGTGGTGATGGGGTAGAAGTATAAATTAAACAATGCATATTGCACAGGAAGCACAGAATATCTAAGTTGAGATTACTTAGATTGCATCACTTCTCCCGAACTACTGCGTAGGAATCAAGACGTTCATGATTTACAACACAAAAAAGTGGGCCGAAATAAATTCATAGGTAAAAGAGGAAATATTTTTTATTGCAAAGGACTGATCAATTTAGGAGCAGATATCCGGATTAAACCAGGTTTTCTAACTATCACCGTAATACTGTCAACATTTCTTAAGTTATGTGAGCACTAAAGGCACTAAATTTAAGATTCCAAATTTTATTTTCTCAAGAATGTAATGAATCTAATGATGAACTGATATACTAATCCAATATAATGCTTATCTGAGATGAAATTTCGTTTCTCTGATGGAAGAAAGAAAGAGCAAATACCAAGACTAGATCAAATTTACTGTTTGATATGAAGCAAACAACGGCAAGCCTATGCAGAATTTGAAAGCTATATCATTGTTCAAAAGCCACTGCTCTCCAAAAAAGGGAAAATAATAAAAAACTAAAACTAGTTGAAATAAACATTACAGAGAATACACATTTCAACAACTTATAAAAGTTTATTAACATTATCGATACCATACCAATACTCAAGGCTAGGCTCAGATGATTTATCCTCCTCAGCCAGTATGAAATAAACAAAATCTTCATAACCCATTTTCCCTTCAACCTTGCTGCTAAAGCTTCTAGGAACCTAATACACAAAGCAAAACATTCTCAAGGAAAAGAACAGGAATCCACAGGTAAACATTTAAAAATATTAACTTTAGCAAATTAGCACAAATAACAGAAACAAACCTCTGCCAAAATTCTTTCAACGATCCTATAGGTCAATGCATGATTACCATATTTTATAAGGTTCTCTCTATCAATCAAGAAATCATGATCTGTATCCAGCTCCCAAAACTTGCAGTATATGACATAAAAGTGCTCATATGAGAAGTACCTGTGACGCATGCATAATGCAATTTCAAAATATAAAAAGGAAAAAAAAAACTAGAAATATAGCATTTCAAAATCCTTGTGGAAGTACTGTGGGTTGTACCAACTACTAAGGTGCAAGCGTGTATTTTATTAAATTAAATTATTAATTACTTAATTAATTAATTAAGTATTATTATTATTATTATTATTATTATTATTATTATATTTTTGCATGCGTCTATATTAACCACATCTTAAGTACATGATTTGAAGCAAACTTGAAATAACAGTCGCATCACTCAATTGTAAAAGAATCATCCCTAGGAACTATAACTTCCATTCCATCACAGAAAATCATTAAAAAAGTCAGAAATGCCCTGCATCTGTTATATCCCAGGTTAGCCAAAACAACCTATTTTAAATTTGAATTCTGTAATTACAATTGGCTAATATTAAAAATAAAAAAAACAAATACGACTTCAGTTCAATAAAAAGGATGTGATGGAAAAGCTATAAACATTTCCTAGTTGAGACTTCATAGAGAATGTTGGGTCCCAGCAGATGGATATCATAAGGAATTGGAAGAAGGAGAAATAAAATCAAGGATTCATTTCATGGAAACCTTGTTCCACTTTTTCAGGTAGAGCTCTCCCTATTTCTTAATCATCAAAAGCATGAAATTAGCTTATTTTACAAAACTAGATCAAAATTTAATGAGTTCGAGAATACAAGATTTGATTAGTTCAACCCTTGAAATTATATTTGGATGCATCATTGCCTCATCCCGATTAGTATTCCATGTCTCCTAACAACAAGCTTATAATTAACAAAGTTAATTTTTAATTTCATATGAATAACTTCATATAAATCATATATATGCTATGCAAATTGGTTATGTTGAGATTAAATAGAAAGTTCAATAAGACCTACAGCATTTTGAGTTTAATGCCTTACAGCACTTTCAACTGGACTCATACTCACTGATAGCATCATGTCCCAACCGGATGTGCACTCTTTAATCAAACAACATAACGAATCACCCAAACTTCTATTAAATACTTCATTATGACCAATGATTTGCGGGTGATAAAAAGTTAAGATTTTAATTACTAGAATTTTTCAAAGTAGCTCATGAATTTACATCTATGTTAGAAACAACTATTTTAGGCAATAAAATTTAGGGTCCGTTTGGGCTTATACCTGCGTTCAGCGTTTTCGAAACGCCGGGGTGGCGTTTGAAAAACGCATTCGGGCCGGTGGTAAAAATACGCGCGTAAGAATTTATGCTATTATTCACCGAATCGTTCGCCTCTACTATTACCCTGCGTTCCGCGTTTAGGGATAGATTATTACTCGGCTACCCTTCGATCCCGTCTCGACGTCGTTGACCTAGATCTGCGATCAGACTCCCCTGATCTCGTCTCTGCTCCTTGATCCCGTCTGTGATCGGATTCTTCGATCCCGTGCGCCCCTCTGCACTCCCATTTCCCGTCTGGCATTAGGTTGGTGGATCGAAAGTTGTTTGAAATTTTCGCAGGTATCTCCTCTTCCCTGTAGAGAATCGCTATTTGTATCGTTGCCTGGGATGGTATGAATTATGGTGAGTTGGGAAATGCTATTACCGGGATGCGTTGGGCAATGCTATTACTGGGCAGAATGAGCACTAGGATTTCATCTTTTTTTTTTACTGGGATCCTTCGTCTAAGCTCTAGGATTATATCTTTTTTTTTGTGATCGTTCGTGTGAAATTTTTATGATCTGACAGATTATATCTTTTGATTTTTTTTATCTCAGTAGCAGTATAAGCTCTAGGGTTTTAGGGACCGCCCGAATGGTCTTGTGTTACTGCGGACTACCGGCTCCCTCACTCACGTCACGCCAGCTGCATAGCAGTGGGAGACAGTTCTACGGTTATCATAGGAGTGTTTCAGCAAGATGCAGTTTCATCCGTTGGGCTAACATTATGACATACTCTCATGCCGACAGTGATCGTATTACGATGGTTTTCCAAGAGGACAGTGCCGCTGAGGACAGACGACATCAGAGTTTTAAATTAATTGAACGTTTTAATACGTTTTAATATTTTTACTTGTAATTGTATTTCTTCTTATTTTATTTGTTTTGATACTCACGAAGTGGTGAGCAATGTATTTTAATTTTTGTAACTGAACTGTGTAATATTTGAGACATTTATTTTATCTATTATTTTTCATATACAGTTTTGTTGCAAACTGCTTAACCAAACAGGGGCAAAATTGTCGTTTATTCAACAACAGCTCCCAGAAAGCTGTTCTGAATAAGCTACCTCAAACAACAAGTCAGTTTATTCTGATAATTTGCAGCTGCCTCAAACAACAAGTCAGTTTATTCTGATAATTTACAGATTATCAGATTATCAGAATAATCTGCTTACAAATAATCAGCAGCCGCCCCAAACAGACCCTTAAACACTTCATTGAAAAATAATTTTTCTATATAGCATTCAACAATATGAAATTATTAAATAAAATAATTTATTTTTGAAAAGTCGTTAGCCACAACGAAAAGAAAATCATGTTCCTTAGTATTCGTGGTAATCCTAGAACAATGTCAATGCTCACATTCCCCCAAGATTTATAAGGGACAGGTACCAATATAAAGCCCAGTATTATGTTTTTCTCCATTTGTTGTTTAGCAATCATGCGTTACACGACAACTTGCATTAAATAGGCGATTATTACAAATCCTCAATCACGGTCATAAACTTATCTCTAAGAAAATATCAAAAAAATGAATGAGAATGCAAAAATGAGTTCCCTTAGAAATAAGATCATCCTTAATCATCAAATTCTAATCAACTATAAGTGAGGCACCAATTAAAATGAGATGTATTTCATTGCAGTCCTCATAATTAGCACAATCCACTTCAATTTGATCGAAGTTTATTCCCTAAACTTGTATAGTGTGCAAAATAATGCCAACCATACTTAAGGAATCTAAAGGTTTATTTACAGTTACAACGCTATGGCTTTGCACGTAAGTGTAGTCCTATAAAATTAAACCCGTTAGCATGCTTATAACCTAGTTTATCTTCAGAATGTATATTAAAGCCTGATGATTCAGAAATACAAAAAAATCCTTTGGTATAAGCAATGCCTACAATACCAAAGTGATTTTAAAGCATAGAAAGCTCTGGCATAATTAAAATATTTCTATTTTATATCATTAATCTTCTTATTATAATAAGCAATTAGCATCCATATTAACTCCACAATCTCCCAATCCCTACTCCAAATGAGTCAAAGGAAATCTAAAAAAAAATTATCGAAATCGGTCAGTCATAATACAAGTGCATTGATAAGTCTCTCTTTGATGTCATTCAAGGCATGCTCAGTAGATTTCATTCATTTGAATCTTCTATTTTTCAGTCAATTGGTAATTTAGGTCAAAAAAGCACTTCAATAATTTGATAAATCATTAGTAAGAAATAGCCAAATCATGGAAACTCCAAATATCATAAATAAAGTCATATTGATAGGCATAAGCCACTCTTTACTTTCTATAATCTTATCTATATCAACAATTAATCCGTCACCAGAGTCCAAAGAATATAATAAATGGAGCAAAAAAAGCAGTACATCAAGTTTAGATACAATTTTTTGATTTGCAAGTTTTCAAAGACTCTCCTGAGCTGTACTAGATATTCCTTCCTTGATTTCAACTAAATCAGAACATCGTCCAAGTATAAACCTAGAAAGTTTCCTATAACAAGTCACAAAGCATGGCTTATGATTCTCATAAAAAATGCTCTCAAGGTTAAAAAAACTCTCTAACCATTCATATAAAACATCATTTATCTTGAAAGTAATATTATATTCATCTCCATTTCTAATTCTTACTTGTAAAACAATCTTCAAGAAAATCACAGCTTCAATCATTTTATCCAGCATATCATCGAATTTTGGCATGGTAAGTTGATATTAAAATATAATTGTATTTATATCTAGAATATCCACACACACTCTCTTACCCTTGTACAATTAAGGTGTGAACAAGCACCGCATATAAAAATATATTTTCCTTAATAAATTATAATATTTAATTATTCATCCAAAATTTTTTTAAGCTCAGCATGTTTAGTAGGATTCATCTTATAATGGAGTAAAATAGTTAAGGAAGATCCAGAGTATGCTAAAAGTTATGGTTTCTTCAAGTAGTTCATCAAGACACGGTTCTTTAAATTGAGATAATAACTAGCTAAAATCCTTAGATATTGTTGTTCTTTTGGTATCATCTTGGTTCAATTCAACAGCAATCAAGGAATGTATTACTCCTTCAGCTCTACTCTCCTTTAAGAAAAACATATTAGCTAAGAATATGTAAGGATTTCTTTAGTTTATTAAACACACTAAATTCTTTGATGTTAAAAGACTTTTGAGCTTGCTAGATTTAAAGTGAACCTCGTATCATTTCAAAAAACGTCTTAGTTAAGAATATGTAGAGATTTCTCTAGTTTATTAAATATGCTAAATTCTTTTTTGATGCAAAAAGACTTAACATTGCTAGGATATGAAGTGATCCTCCTAATATTCCCTTACCAGAATGAGTGACAACCAAATCATAAAATTAAGGCCGCTTGATAAAAGCACCTGCACATCTAACGATAAGAAATCACTGTCAATCAGGAAGGACGGAAATCAGACAGCTAAATTAGGAGCTTTTAATAATTAGGAGCATCCTTATTTAAATTATTTTCAATATCTTTTCAATATCTTTATTCTATTATTTCTCTTTTAACTGAATATTTAGATTAGGAATATGTATTATTTAGTTACCTAAAATAAATTATACAAAATATTTTGGACCTAAAATAGATTGTAAGATTATTATTTAATGGAATGAAAGCAAAGGAAAAAAGGGCATCGAGCCTATTCATAACTCAGTCAATTTTTCTCAAAACTTTGACATGGTATCAAAGCCAAATTTTTGCCCTAACCACCGATAATCGTTAGAGTACTATCAAGACTCCATTCCCACCAGCCC